TCTTCTTCTTCTTCTTCTTTTTTCTTCTTTTTAATGCTACACGTGTTCACTATAAACTACCCTAATCAGATAACTCATGGCTGAATCTTGACGTGTCAACCAGTGCATTGAAAGCTCAGAGAATAGTCTGACCAAATGGGAGTGGACACACCAGGTTGAAAAATGGGCTCAAAAATTGTTTGCAGTGAGGTGACAATGGCAAGACAATACACCAGACTCGACTTACGCGAAACGATAAGGAACACTGCGACGGTAGCCACGATAATTCCGTGGTGAATCGTACTGAAGACCATTTTCGGAGGCGAGGAAGCAGAATCTAGAATGCATTCGAAATTTGTTTGAATCGGTTGGAAATGTGGTGGCGCATGATTTGAAAAGATTTAGAGGCAGACTTGGGTGGACGTGTGCACTGCAAACAGGAATACGTCTTACCTCGGTTGTCTTGGAATGCGAGATCTCTGCTGAGTCTGCGGATATGTATACGAAGGATCTGACCAATGGCTGCCGTCTGCTTGAGTTGATTTGATTGGTCACGCAGCTGATCTATTGGATATTATCTTGCGCATTTGCTCAACTTGTTCTTTGATAATTATTGACCTGCGAAGTAGAGAAATCAGAATATATATCCAAATTTTGAAAAACAATTCATGAATCAAGATGATGTACGCCAAAATATTTGTCATTTTAAAAAAATATTAGCTTGAGCCAAGCCACTATATTGGGACAATAAATTTTAATACAGATATTGTACTGACGTCTTTCGACAGTAGCTCGTGTTCATCTTCACTGTCAGTGTTCTGTTGCCGTTCAATCAACCAGCAATATTTGTGTGTAATAAAAAAAACATTTTTTGTTGGAACTTCTATAGTTTTTCACAAGCGTGCTCAGTTATTTGTGTATTTGCACAAAAACAAACAACAAAATTCACGACAGGTTCTCTGAAATCGATTTTTCGCGAACCCCGTCAAACCCCCTACCAGACAATGACATCTTACAGTCATGAGATGGGTCATTTTAGACCAGTTTTTCGAGCAGTTCTCTATGTAGAATTGACGATGACAATTTGACGGAAATCGCAGTGTACAGGTGGAAAACAATAATCTGACTACTGGTAGTCGACACGAAGGGTGATGTGATTGA